GCACCTGAACAAGTAGATTTACCAATTTTCAGACCAGATTTGAGCGATGCAAAAAAATGGCTGGCCGAGGTAGAAAGTATAAAAAGTGAATTTGAATGGTCTGACCAACAGACTATCGTGAGGTTGGGTCGATTTTTAACGGGAATATCTAAAACGTGGTTTGAAAACTGGGCACCAGATGTAAAAAACTGGGACACTTTTGTACGTGACTTTTTGGAGGCGTTTCCACCCAAAAAAATTTTGGGTGAATTACTTCTGAAAGCGGCTCAATTCAATAGTCACAACTGCAATACGTACGAGGCGTACGTCTTTGAGAAAGTTACTCTGCTTCGAAACCTACGGGCACACTGGGACGAGACAGATCTTGTTGAGATAATCATCCACGGAATTATGGAACGTGACGTGCGTGTCACTGCCGGCAATCAGAATCATAAAAAAATATCCGATCTCATTTCTTATTTAGGATCAGTGCCGAAATGTCGTTCCGGAGAGTCAAGGGCGGATAATACAACTTCGGAAATAAGGGAACCGCCCCGTAAACGGTTCCGTGAGAGCATCGAGGATGATAGAAAACGCAAAAGACCACTCATGTGTTATAATTGTGGAAAAAGAGGTCATATCCAGAAATTTTGCATTGAAGTTAATAAAAATGACGAAACACAGAAAAATTCATCTCCTGCAAATTATTTGAAGTCATCTAAGGTAACCTCTGAGTTAGTGTGTTCCTTCTGTGCTAAAAGTGGACATAAAATTGATGATTGTTTTATAAAAAAGGGGATCGAGAAACGCCGTAATGTGAATCGTTGCAGTAGTGGTAAATCAGGTACTACCGAGGTGATGACGGTCAATGGAATAACGATGAAAGGCATTGTAGATACGGGTGCTGATATTTCATTAATCGCTCGAAAACATGCTGAAAAGTTTCAGGATAAACTAATACCCACTCTCACCACAATTAGCGGTGTATTACCTGGCTGTTATGTTTCTGAAAAATCGTTAATTGCTGACTTTGAGATGTCCGGTGTAAGAACAGAACTCACATTCATTGTTGTGCCTGATAGTTTTCTCGAAAACGACGTATTGGTGGGCTGCAATCTTTATGACGATCCCGACATCGTGACAATCACAAATTATGCTGGTACCAAAATTGTCAAGAACAAAGTTGCTAGAGTTCTTGATATCTTGCCGAATGCTGAAGATCTTGAGGTGGATGTACCAGATATACACAAGTCCAAATTGTTGAAACTTCTTTCCCATTATAGAGACATTGTAGCGGCTAGTGCAAACGCTGTCACCTGTGTAAATAACACCTCAATGCACATAAGACTTCGCGATGACTTCGTTGTTAATAGAAGCCCTTACCGATTATCAATAAATGAAAGGAAAATTGTTCAAGACATTGTTAATGACCTGTTAAATAACCGTATCATTCAGGAAAGTGAATCGCCTTTTGCCAGCCCCATAATACTCGTCAAAAAGAAGGAGGGTTCTTATAGAATGTGTGTTGATTTTCGTGCGCTCAATCAACATACAATCAAGGATCGATACCACTTGCCGTTGATAGACGACCAATTGGATCGCTTGGGAAAGAGCAAACTGTTCACCTCCTTAGATATGTCTTCCGGATTTCATCAAATTCCATTGGATTCTGAATCAGTTCATAAGACTGCATTCGTAACGCCAGACGGGCACTTCGAATATTTACGCATGCCATTTGGCCTAGCCAATGCCCCGGCAGTTTTTCAAAGGGCAATAAATAAAGCATTGGGGAATCTCAGGAATACGGTAGCACTGGTATACCTTGACGATGTTCTGATACCGTCCGAAACTGTTGAAGAAAATTTGACATCATTGGATCTAGTATTGCAAGCACTCAAAAATGCAGGATTCAGTTTGAACTTGAAAAAGTGTCATTTTCTTCAGAACAAATTAGAATATTTGGGCAGAGAAATATCTGCAGAAGGCATATCTCCTGGGTCACAAAAGGTAGAAGCACTGGTAAGATCCCCGGTACCTACCACATTAAAACAAGTCCGACAGTTGATGGGCTTAGCCGGATACTTTCGGAAATTCATACCCGAGTTTGCTACCCGTACTGCACCTATCACTAAACTTACCAAATCAAACGTGCCTTTTTGTTGGGGTGAAGAACAAGAATCTGCTAGAAGGTATATAATTGAATATTTGACATCGCGACCACTCCTCAGCGTATTCGATCCTGAACTTCCTACCGAATTACACACAGATGCGAGTAGTATTGGTTACGGAGGGATGCTTATCCAAAAGCAAGACGGAAATTTACGTGTTATTGGATACTTCAGTAGAAAAACCAACAAGTATGAAGAAAAATATCATTCTTATGAATTAGAAACTCTTGCCGCGGTAAGCTCCATGAAGTATTTCCGGGTTTATCTCCTCGGTATCCACTTTACGTTGGTTACTGATTGTAACGCTATGAAATCAACAGCAGCAAAGAAGGACATCCTACCAAGAGTAGCTCGCTGGTGGGTCTACATGCAGGATTTTGATTTTGATATAGTTTATAAAAAAGGGTGTTCATTGCCACATGTAGATTTTTTGAGCAGGAATCCCGTAATTCGCTGTCTGAAGAAATATAACAATTGGTTATATATTGAGCAACGTGGAGATAATGAGGTTAAAAGATTGCTAGATGACTGGAAGGAAGGGCGCTTGGACAAGACTCGTTATTCTGTCAGAAATGATATACTACATTACAATATATCTACATCTGAGGGATCCGTTTCCAAGCCTTTTGTACCCCGACAAAGCAGATTGGGCTTGTTAAGGATATTTCATGATGAACAGTGTCACGTTGGCATTGACAAAACCTTAGAATCAATAAAAATACACTTTTGGTTCCCACGTATGCGATACTTTGTTACAAAGTATATAAAGCATTGTCTCATCTGTGCTGTGAAGAAAACTAGGTCTGGTCCATTACAGGGCTTCGTCACAAGAGTCGAAAAACCGTCTGAGCCCATGAACATCATTCATGCCGATTGTTTAGGTCCCTTAGAAACTACAAACGAGGGACATAAGCACATTTTGGTATTAATCGATGCGTTTACAAAGTATTGCATACTGTTGCCGTTGAAGACTGTCAAAGCCTGCGAAACGAAAGAAGCTTTTCAGTTGTTCATATCTCTGTTTGGTACGCCGAAGCAAATCATTATGGATGCAGGTAAAAACTTCAAGAACTTGAGCCTCCCAGAATACTTGGACTCCTTGGGCATCAGTTACCATTATACTACCCCCGATGTACACAGGTCCAATGGACAAGTAGAGAGATATATGAGAACAATAATGAATCTTCTGCGAATTGAAACAAAAGTTCGGTCAGAATGGTCGAGTGGTTTATGGAAAATTCAGTTGGTTTTGAATACGACTGTGCAGAAGTCAATAGGAACAACACCACTTCGAGCTTTAATTGGCATTGATGGTTCTACTCCACTCATCCAAAGTTTGCTGGCTAACTTAAGTTCTGATCTACAGCCAATCAGAAATTTACAACTCGATCGTAGTAGAATGAAGGATCGTATGGAGTCGTTAGCAGAGGCTAAAATCAAGGAGAATGAAAAACGCCGAAATACCAAAACCTTCAGCATTGGAGATTTTGTCCTTATGCACCGTGATGATAAGATGCACCAAGGTAAATTGAAGTATGAATTCCAGGGACCTTTTGAAATTGTGGGTATCACACCAAAAGGTCGATATGAAATGAAGAGAGTTGGTAAATCTCTTGTGACTAAGGCTGCTAAAGAACAATTGAGGAGTTGGCCTAGCGATTGGTCTATGACTGTGAACATGGAGGAGCTTCTTGAAGATTTAGAGGATGAGTAAGTAGTCTGGATATTGGCCAGTGTTAGAATGTAGTTTGTGACGTCAGAAATATATTTTGCATGTATTTATCTGGTGTTTAAAGCTTGGTACGCTTTGCACGCAATTGTTTCATGTTTTAAAGCTTGCTACGCTTTGCATGTGCTTATCTGGTGTTTAAAGCTTGGTACGCTTTGCACGCAATTGTTTCATGTTTAAGAGCTTGCTACGCTTTGCATGTATTTGTCTGGTGTTTAAAGCTTGGTACGCTTTGCACGCAATTGTTTCATGTTTTAAAGCTTGCTACGCTTTGCATGTGCTTATCTGGTGTTTAAAGTTTGGTACACTTTGCACGCAATTTTTTTCATGTTTTAAAAGCTTGCTACGCTTTGCATGTGTCTATCTGTTGTTTAAAGCTTGGTACGCGTTGCACGCAATTGTTTTATGTTTTAAATCTTGCTACGCTCTGCATGTATTTATCTGGTGCGTTATGCATTCTTACTTAATGTAATTGTTTATAAAGTCAAGTTTGACTTTGTGGTATTGTTTCAGTGAGGAAGAACCAGAGATTGCAGATGGAACTGAAGCAAGGAGTGAATGATTACGTTGTCTGTTATTATTGTTTGCGATGTTTGTTATTTGTTATAATGTTACTAATTTCTGAATTTGTTTAATACAAGAATATTTTCTTTCTGAGTATTTTGTCTTTACTTCGTTGCTACAAATCAGGCTGTTATACAATTAACGTCGACAACGACTTTGTACTCAGGTTGGCCGTGTTAGAATCAAAATAATGAAATTACGGACGTTAATTTTTGACAGACAAATTTAGTAAATACAACCCCGACCGCCCACGGTCGGCACGCCGGTGGTCGATCGAGGCCAGTCTGTGCGTACCGCTCGAATAGTACGGAGCCTGTCGTGGTCTGTGTTTTGCTAGTTGTCTTATCTTATCACCAAAATTCTATCACTATCTTTTTTGAATAAAAAAAGGTAGCCTATGCCCGGTTTAAAAAAATAACCCTGTTTTCTATATTATTATTGTATTTTTGGTTAAACTTAACAACATGATGATCAAATTATTAGTAATTCTTTATTTAGTTTAAATTAAAGAAAGTAGGGATTTCTGGATTGCATGTAGTCGTTCCCTGTGCTTCTGTTACTTCTCCTTGACTATCGCAATTATCCTGCCGGCTATCCTTATCTTGTTTTTTCTGGAGTAGTATTTCCTTTGCAAGCCTAAAGACTTGCAGTTGTTCCAAAAGTACCAATCGTTGAAGTTCTTGTGTACTAAGGTGTCTAGTTTCATTTGTTTCTGGTAATTTTTCCTTTTGTTTTTGGTTTTTCAAGGATGCCTCTTTTACAGGTCTGCGCACTATAGAAGACGCCGCTGATGTTCTAGGCAATGTAGAGCTGGAACTTGCATTCTCAAAAGACCCCGTAATGTTATAATTTTTCTTCCAGCTGACTTTCATATTGTTCACAGTCAAGACTGACTTCTTCGGTGTCCGTCCTAGGCGCTCCTACACCAGCAGAAATTGCTCCAAAAAAGAATATGTATTTTTAGTTACCTTAATAAAAACTAAATATATCTAAAACATAGTACCTTTGCAGTATTAGGAGATACTTTAACAATTCTCGTAGTACGTATTATATTATGATGAAACATATTGTTTTGCATCTAGGAGGGAACACGCCAAAAAATTTACGCTTGAAAATAAATGGAAAACATGACCAACTTTTGACTCAAACACTGACCCTATTTATCGATAGATTTTGATAAAACAAGTGTACGAAAGTTAGTTATATTTAGTCAACTCTTAAGTAATTTTAATGTAAAGACGAATAATCGAATTGTTATCCTATTTTTCCAATTTGTTTTGAATGACTTAAAATTATTCGTTTTAAATAAAAATAACTTTCGCACACCCACAGAAATATCCACAAGGCCTTTATAGATTTTCTTATCTCAATTAGCTTTTTTAAAATTCGTGTTAAAAAATTCTTTAAAATAAACATTTTTGCTCTGGCGCAACTCTCCTATACTCGTAGTTGTAAAAATTGCTAATTAAATACTATGAGTTTTGCACACACTAGATCTACCTTTTACTCTCCCAATTGCAGAATTTAGCTCTCCCTCCATATTTGTAAAGAATTTAGCTTCCCATCCTCTTAGTTGGATCTTTTTATTTCCTGTTTGTTTTTTATCAGTCTTTGTTTTTAGTCTAGCCTTCAGATTGTTTAACTTTTTCCATACCTGTGCTTCACTCATTTCTATTCCCAATTGATCTGCTAGTCTACCTTTTATCTCCTCGATTGCATTCACCTTTTTTCTTTTAATCTCGGGTATGTTAGACTTTTTCAAAAGTACGGGAAATTTTTCAATAACACTAACAAAACTTAACATTTCACAAGTTTTTCCGTTGGCGTTGGTATCCTCTTCTGTATCCATTGTTGTAAAATATATTCACTGAAAGGACCTAGGACAATCGCACTAAATACCGCGATGCGGCAAATGTAAGTACAAAAATCTGCAATCGAAGCTGCACATACCTCCTTCATCTTCTGGCCTCCCAAAATACTGAACTGCAACGTTGCATTAGCGCGTGAGGTGGTTAAGCAAGTAGTGACGAAATGATATGGACTATAGAAGAGTAGCGTCACTCCGTCGTTGAAACAGTTTTTGGCGAGGTGTCTGAAATTACATTGTGGTATACCAAATCCTACATGCAGTTAAACTGTGATGTCTGTGATATAGCAGCCAGTCAGGAGGAAGGTAAACATTCAGGAATGGAGGTCACCTGAAGGTAGTTGACCGCAAAACACCGGATTGTTTTACGTGTTGCGAAACTAGCAGGAAGTGGGGTGCTAATATTTCGATGCTCCGCTAATGATGTAAAGGCGACTATTGTTATTCTAACATATTTGGAATTTAAGACATCGTCGCTTAAGTTGTAACACCACTAAACGCAAAGAATAACTAATGTATTTGCTTAAAAAAGCCACCGTGAATGCCGGAATGTCATCAGTAGGCACTATTACCTTATGAGGATTCATTTGCGACTAGACAAACATGGAGGATTATAAGATCATTCGATAGCGACTCCAAAGGCCCACCGTTCTTTCATGCTATCCTAAAAAGTTGTTAGTTTAATGTTACATCGTGCTGGAACTCTTTATTGAACAACTAAATTTTTGTGATTCATGACTGGGTAGTACCAAAAAGAAGAAAATACGATACAAATTTGTTATTTAGTTTTGCATTCGACGTCAATGATTATTGCCAAACATTTCCAAAGTAGATCGTTCAAGTGTATTGCGAGAAAACAGATGTGATGTTCCATTTCGTTATTTAATTTTATACTCTTCAGTCTACATCATTCATGTTCCCTGCAAAATAAATACGAACATACAAAAAACAAAGTGATTGTTTTCATCTGCACTGAAAAAGCTTTTAGGATGTAAGCACACAGTTTGGAAAATCTGCTTTCTTTTCTGGTTACTAAGTTTAGCGCTCTTACACTCATTTTCAAACTTGTGACCGAACAATAATCCATTCCAACCTCTGTTAGAATCAGTATAGTAGTTACTGATATTGCACAATGTCAAGGAAACCAGAACGACAGGTGGGTTATCGCCAATGGGTGGAACGCTAAAGGACTCTATTTTTCAAGCCTATTTTCCAGAAAATGCTATTTATCATATATCGTCGACAGAAAAAATAATAATATGCATTACCCTGTATAAACTCAATTACTCTATGACATGCCAAACTAGGCATGTTGAAATCAATAGAATTAAAAGTAGGGAACCCATTCAGGTGAACCATCCGCCTGTAACCTTTCTTCCCTTTATTTGGATATCTTGGTCTTATCCATGAAGTAAATCATAAAAAAAAAACCTATTGTATACCGGCATGTGTGTGGGTGTATCTATTCAGTTGAAGGGTGGGTGTTAAGCTGGACATACACGTTAAAAATATACTCAGCAGACTGGTTAACTAACTATTATGGATATTCAGATTCATGATTCCGCCACAATATGATCTGTATGAATATTTTGGTAAACAAATCATAATCAACTGTCTCTACCCACACTCCGCCGATACACGATGCGAATTCGTACCTAAAATCTCTCAGCGTTTGAGAAGCTTCATTCCATCCAGGGCCTTTGATTTCTTACCGCTCGTCTTTCACTCATACGCAATTGGTCTATCAAATGCTCAAGTTGATGATTCCATTATCACCAACGGCAGATAATGATATATCAATTTTCCTATTTTTAAATCTTCAGAACACAACACTTAAAAATACGAAATATACACACTTCTTAAAGTGTTTTGAAGGGTGCTCAATGTATAATAATTTCTCTAAGAATTCTAGTTGCTACGCTCAAAACAGTTGAGCTACAGTTTGCTTGTAGTGACAAAAAGCACAACAGGAAAATGAAAAAAAAATCATGCCGAATTTTTTTCTTAGGATGGATTGGAGGTAATAATAGCCAGCCTTCTAAATGCTAAATCCACTAAACGTAAGAGTCAAATAGAAAAATACGACTTTTTTTCTAGCTACTGTCAATCTCTTTGTGAGCCAAAAACACAAAAAACAGCGTTTGTCTTTGAGGTGCCGCGCCGCCGACTGCATTAGCGTACCCGCTGGTTGTTCCACTTCCACATTCATAAGAAAAAATTACATGGATTACTCTTAATGCCTATTGAAATTTAAAATATCACTTTTTTTTCTCAAATTTCTGGTAGCATTTTATGACTAAAAACAGGATAATTTCTTTAATTAATGCATCAAGTTGTAAATTTAATCAAGAAGGACTTATTCATTCCTTATTTACTTCGTCGCCGTCGCTGGTTGGATGCAAACCCAATGATATTAGAAAGAACGGCCGAACCCTTTGAGCTAGGCCCACAGACCCCACGCCTCTGTTCCTATTCTGGTATGGGCACACCGGCGTATTCAAGTGAGGGATTTGGGGATCCTCGGAGTTTCCCTTGCCGAAGCGTAACAGCTCATTAGGCTTCTTCTACATATTACAGCATGTTATACCTTCTGTGAAGTGTGCTATCTGAACTAAGCTACGTAGTTTTCTATCTCCACGACCCTGGATCCTGAGCCTCCTCCCAGATCTTTTTCTGGATAACACCACTGGTTGAGCAGTATTTCAATCTACAGGAAACGATTACTATCGCGAAATCAACCTCAACAGTGGCTCCTACAAATCACTTTTATGGGCACCTTTAAAATTTCCGTCATCGGACTAAACTAGGAAGTCACATATGAATAAATTTAATGAATCATAATTGATCATAATTGTTTGTATTAGCATGGGGAGGATTTCTGGAAAAGCAAAAATTCTATATACTTGGATTTCTGCTTAAAGTGGCTGAACCTACCAGTATCTCTACAAAGTAAGAAGCATGTAGACCAGAATGCAGTTTTGTATAGACACGGAGAGTGGTTAAACTGAATACTGGTGAAATACTTTTCAGAGCTAATGAAATTAGTTGCAAGAAGGATAAATAGCCAGCACTAATTTCGTAAAGTAAACGTTTTTCATATTTAGACTTTAGAAGAGAATGTTCAGTTTCCAAACGTTAGGTAGCCTAGCAGTTACGGCTTGTCTATTCAATACCAAAGATCCAACCTACCATATCAGAATTAATCAAACAACCTGCTTCTGCCTCAATATTAAAATTTGAAGGAAATATTTTGCTTTTGAAAAGCCTGGATATATATTACAAATAAAGATGTAATCTGCTTTGAAAATCACACCATATTGAGAATTTAATTAAACCTGCACCTCATCAACAGCAATAGCACACCGCCACTGGAGACAACTCAATCAAGCCACGCGCCTCTATAGAATGCGGTTCCTTTTATCTATGATTTATTGCTCGGACATTACCTTCCAGTATCAGTAATGCTTTTTAGACTGTCTTCGGCGCTAATACAACGTTGCAGTTTAGTATTTTGGGAGGCCAGAAGATGAAGGAGGTATGTGCAACTTCGATTGCAGATTTTTGTACATGCTCACTTTTTTAGCATCTACTCAATTTCATCTTAAACACGTACTAAGAGCATGTACTCACATTTTATTAATACCACCCAATGCCTTCGCTAAAATTCTGCGTAATAGAAGCTGCAATCTGTTGGATATCAATTTCCATGAAGGGTGAAACAACAAATTACGCCACTATAGGAATTTCGTTGGAATCCTTGAAACGATTTTTGGAGTTATCCTTCAAGTTAGAGACTATTTCTACATGATATTTACTGTCATATGGTTCTAATTGACTTTGAGATATACAGGGTATTCCTTAATGATATGCGAATATTTAAGGGTGTGAATCTACATGAAAAATTAATGTTAGTTTGCTTCATAAACTATGGTCCAAAAAAGTTTCCTAAAGTTCATAAAGTTGCATATTTTTCAATGGAAAAATAATTTTTTGCTTTCACAGTGGCGTGCGTACGGGTATTGACTTCGATATTTTTTAAGAAAAAAAAGGTACACTAATAGTTTTTTGCCAAACTAAAATTATTTTTGGATGCCCCGTTCAATTTAAAACAAATGATCTTTCTTGAATTGTTTTTCTTTGATGCGCCATTTTTGATTAAAAAAATAAAAACCGTTCTAATATCCGAGAAAATTAATGTAATAATTGAAGAATACAGTTTCGCAATAAATATCTAGTTGCTTTGGAATGTGTCACTGGCTTTTGACATCTGACAAGTCTCTTTTATTCAAATCTGTTTGCTGTGACACCTTTTTCATTATTTAGCTTTTACAATCTTGTTAACAATTGAAATGCAGAAATGGTGCGAAATGCATTACGTATATGGCCTTGCCGACGGTAATGGTGAGCAAGCCAGACGGATTTATCACCGGATATATCCCGATCGTGCTTTGCCAGATAGTCGAACCTTTTCCAATATTCATTGTCGTCTTGTTGAAACTGGTTCCATCCGAAAAGGAACATCTGAAGGTAGACCTCTAAGTGTGATAACACCTTGAATTGAGGAAGCAGTGCTGCACGAAGTCTAAGCACATCCTGAAACGAGTACGAGGAAGAAGACACTTAAATATATGCCATCAAATTGTTTGAAGAATTTTAGTGGATTTTTTGTTATATCCTTACCATATTTTAAGAGTACAGGCATTACTTCCCATTGATTTTCCAGGACGTGTGACATTTTGTCAGTGGTATCTTCAAAAAATCACACAAAATCCGCAATTTGAATCAATGATTCTGTTCACGGACGAAGCTAATTTTTATCGAAATTGCCATTCAGAATTTCCACAATAATCATTTGTGGGCAGAATAAAATCCCCATTTCCGACAAAAATTTTCGGTTAACATATGGGCAGGAATTATTGGCAACCACTTTATTGGCCCATTCTTCTTGCCGGGACGACTTACCTCAATTTTCTTCAAGAACAGTTGCCTTTGCTGCTTGATGATGTTCCGTTAGTAATAAGAAAAAATATATATGGTACATGCATGATCGTGCACCAGCGCATTTCAACGCAGTGGTTCGTAATTATTTACAAACTGTTTATCCAAATCGTTGGGTGGGCCCCAAGAATGGCCACCAAGGTCCCCAGACCTCAACAGTTTAGATTTCTCTTTGTAGAGCTATCTTAAGACACTAGTGTACACAATTCCCATTAACACTGTAGAGGAATTAAGAGAAATAATAGTAGCAGCTTGAGATAGAATAAAAAACACTCCAGGGACATTTCAACGAGTGCGCAATTCCATGAGGAGGGCGGAAGCATGCATACTAAGTGAAGGGGGCCATTTTCAACAATTTTTGTAATCATTTCGTTGGTTTTAATGTTATGTTTATGTTGTTAGTTCTTGTTCATTACCCCTAATGTGTTTAATTTTTCCAATTATACTAAGTGACATATAAATCCGAACACCCAGTTCAAATGCTTTTATTTTAATAAAATTTTGTATAAGTACTTAATGAAGCATAATAAGTAAATGATAAAAATTTCAAAATGATTGCACTGCTTTAAAGCCCCTTGACCTTTAATAATGTGTGGATGCACCCTGATGTGCTACACATTCTCCAACGCGCCTTGATATGCTTCTGATCAGGTGGTCAATGTCCTCCTGTGGTATCTCATTCCAACTCCTCTCGAAGTGCTTCTAGAGTATGAGGAGGACGTTGCAAATTGAGCAATCTCCTACCCATCATATCCCACACGTGCTCAATTGGGGATAAGTCGGGAGATCTTGGTGGCCATGGTAACAATGTGACATCATTATGTTGAAAGAAGTCTATTGTGACTCTTGCAACATGTGGTCGGGCATTATCTTGTTGGAAAGTTGGATCTGCCAGGGTGTCAAGATAGGGTAAAAGATGGGGTTCTAGAACTTCGTGAATATAACGCTGCGCGTTCATGTTACCTCTGATGAAGATTAGAGGTGACCTGGAACCATAAGCTATAGCACCCCAAACCATAACTCCAACAGTGTGATGAACATGTCTTACAACAAAAAACTGTGGATTCCTCCTTTCACCACGTCGCCTTCTAACCCTGGCACGACCATCGTGCATGCCTAAACAAAATCGAGACTCGTCACTAAAGACACTACTGTTCCATTCCTGATCCCAGAGTGACCATTGTCTGCCCCACTCAAGGCGATTACGTCGGTGTTCTCGGGTTAAAGGGAGGACCCAGTGTGGCCGGTATGAAAACAAGCCAAAACTTCTCATTCGTCGGTAAACACTTCGCATGCTATAGATTATGGTCCAGGTCAGCTTTAATCTTCATCAGAGGTAACATGAACGTTATATCCACGAAGTTCTAGAACCCCATCTTTTACTCTATCTTGACACCCTGGCAGATCCAACTTTCCAACAAGATAATGCCCGACCACATGTTGCAAGAGTCACAATAGACTTATTTCAACATAATATATACGTTATACCATCGTCGAGTCGTAGCCTACGGATGTGTCTGTGAGTGCTCTGCAAACAGCAAATATTGTAAGTTTTGACACCACCTCATTATTTATTGTTGATCACATCAAAGCGAACGTATTTTGACCTATCTCAAAACAAAATGCCTACTCGCCAAGGACAGGCCGATTTTGAGCAAACTCTCATTGATGCACTGAAGAAGAAGAATGTTGCTGAGTCGATATCAAACATAATCTTACGTACGATAACGTCCACATTGAATGATAAATTCAAATATTATGATGATAAAATTGCTCAGCTAGAAGCTGAAATAGTCAATTTAAAATCTAACAAGAACGAGACACAAGACATAGCAACGGAAGACACGCAAAGAAATGTACAGCAAAAACTTGATAATATTCAGCAGCACATTAAAAATAATAATATTAGGCTCATGCAGGTACCAGAGGCGGAGGGCGAAAATCTGTCTGAGAAATATTGAAAAATAAAATGGAAGTCGATATAAATAGGTCGGAAATAACAGCAGTATACAGGGTGGGAAGACAGAATGGAAGTAACCCAAGGCACATTCTGGTTTCCTTCAAAGATAACTGTATAAAAATGGCAGCATATAACAAGAAAAAGATGCTGAAAGGTACTAAAATTGTTGTTAAAGAGGACCTAACCATTCAGGGGGTGGAGAGAATTCAATTTGACTAAATGTGGCTGTCGTGAATTATTGATTATTTTTTATTTCATTATTCGTATATACTTACTGTAATGCACCTTAAAATTGGTCATCTGAACGTATGTTCTGTTGTTCCTAAATTGAATCGGCTCAGAGAGCATATTTTACAACATAATTATGGAATCTTTGCAATGTCAGAAACTTGGCTTAATTCGACAGTCGAAAATGGAGCAATTCAGATCCCTGGATATAGTGTTGTGAGAGCAGATAGAGGGGCAAGGGGCGGAGGCGTTGCTCTTTATATACATGACAGTCTGAAGTTTTCTCTAATAAATACATCTTTTAATATCGAACAGTTATGGGTAATGTTGCAATTTAATGATGTTTCATATGCTGTCGGAGTTGTATACCGTCCTCCTCATTATAACTATAGGAATTTTGTTGACGAGCTAGAAGAATCATTATCTCTGGTCGCCATTCATACCGATAAAGTGATATGTGTTGGAGATGTGAATATAAATTTCTTGGATACCCAACCTGCTTCTACAAGATACATGCTAGATATGTTAAGTACCGTTAATTTTCACCAAATTTTGAATGAACCAACTCACATCACTCAAATATCCAGCTCATTAATTGATGTTATTCTATGCAATGATCTCTCAATAATACACACGTCTAATATCGGTGGGTTGGATTTGACCAATCACGAATTGATTTAATGTCAGGTATACAAGTCTGAGCCTAAAACTGAGCCATTCTACTGCACTTATCGTAGTTTTAAGCATTTTAATGAGCATGAGTTCTACAGTGACCTACAAAAGCTCCCTCTGATAGATATTTGCTATGCTTCTCACATCGATGATAAAATGCTTTTGTTCAACAACATGATCCTTCAGCTGTTTGACAAACACATGCCTCTTAAAACATGTAAAATTAGCAAAAATAAGGCACCTTGGCTTAGCAATAACATAAGGAAACTAATGAGAGATAGAGACAAAGCTAGGTCAAAATTCCGGAAGAATCCTTCTGCGCAGAATGGTGTGGCTTACTAACAGCTCAAAAACAAAACTAATCATACCATATTACAAGAAAAAAAGAAATATTTCTCGCAATTGGCTCAGAATAGAAACAGTAAAGTACTATGGAAAGAACTAAGATCATTAGATATAAAATCAAATAATCCTGGTATACCATCACAGCTGCAAAGTGCTGATAATATCAACGACTTCTTCTTAGACAATATTCCTCAACAAATCAATAGTAATGAGGATTTAGTTATGCACTATAACAATAATGTCATATGCTATGATAAATTTAATTTTTCCTTGGTCTCCGAGGAACAAATTCTGCAAGCCTTCTGTCGGATAAAAAATACCTCGCCAGGAAGTGACGGAATTTCAGTCTGTTTACTTAAAATGTGTATTCCAATCATATTGCCTTTTCTCGTCCACATTACTAATAGTATTCTTTTAGACGGAAAATATCCCACCGCCTGGAAAACAGCTCTAATAACTCCAATCCCTAAGGGTAAAGATGTCAAACAACTTGCAGATCTTCGCCCTATCAGTATCTTACCTGGCCTTTCAAAGTTAGTGGAAAAAATAATAGAATTACAGCTACGTGACCACATAACCAGAAACAAAATTTTACCTAGTACTCAGTCAGGTTTTCGTCAAGATTATAGCTGTACTACAGCTTTGGCACACATTACAGATGATATTATATCAGCTAATGACAACAGTAACTGTACTGCACTAGTTTTGTTAGATTATAGCAAAGCATTTGATACTATAAATCATGACGTTCTGATTGCAATACTTGAATCATGTGGGGTATCAGGTCATAATAAATCGTTCTTCGAATCTTACCTTAGCGATAGAATGCAACGTGTGAAGATCAATAATAATCTCTCGCGAGTAAGGACAATAAATCAAGGGGTGACGGAGGGTTCGATACTCGGACCGTTATTATTCACGCTATATACTAGTCAGCTCTCCAAATCCCTTGAATACTGTAAGCCTCACATGTATGCAGATGATACTCAAGTGTGCCTTTCATTCCTTGGTGATGATTGGCCAATGGCGGAGTATAAAATTAATGCTGATCTTGACGCTCTATTTAAAACTTCTAATATCATTCAATGTCACTGAATCCAAAAAAATCAGCAGCAATAATTTTTGCGAAAGATCGGTCAGAGATAATGAACAATATGACGCTACATATAGATAATGTTCTAATACCGTTCTGCGATTCTGTTAAAAATTTGGGTCTCATAATAGATTTTCAGCTCAGATTTAAAGAGCATATTTCAAAATGTATACAAAGAGCGTATTATGCACTCAAGCTGCTTTACCCTCATAGACACTTTCTTAGCAGAGACATCAAACGAATGCTATGCGAAACGTTGGTTTTGTCCCAGTTTTCGTATGGTGCTCCTGTCTATTATCCATGCTTGGATGCTGATACGATATCTAGAATTCAGCGTGTTCAAAATTCATGTATAAGGTACATTTTCGGTATAAGGAAATATGACAGAGTTAGTCATAAGCTGAAGGATTTACAGTGGTTGAACATGAAACAGCGTTCAGAACTATTAACACTATGTTTCTACAATAATATTTTGTCGAGCAAGTCACCGCCATATTTGTATGAAAAAGTCATGTTTAGAGAAAGTCTTCATTCTGTCAATGTTCGTTCGAAACAGAATATTTCTGCTCCATTCCATCGAACATGTTTTTTCGAACGTGGCTTCTCTTACAACATCTATAAATTATACAACACCATCCCCCAGCAAATCAAAAATATGAAAGGTTGCAAATTCAAGGCAGCTCTGAGACGATTCCTTTTAGATAAGTATAATTAACTTCACTGATAATACTGTAACATTTAGCTTTTTTGGATGAATCTCATGATTATATGATGGAATATTTTCAGTTTTATATTTTCAGTGTTATTTGTTTTTTTTTTTGTTTTTTTTTGTACTCATGCTTTTTTTTCTGCTCTCATATAGTTAGTAGTAGGCATGTAACAGTTGATATCACTATTTTAAAATAGAGCAAGGGATGATTGGAAGAGCACGCAGGTCGTGAACTCCCCCTTGAGATTCGAGAGCAATTATTCCTATTTGTTGAACATTATTTTTGTATGCATTGTCTCTTCGAATAAAGCCATTTATTATTATTATTATTATTATTATTATTATTATTATTATTATTATTAATGATGTCACATTGTTACCATGGTCACCAAGATCTCCCGACTTATCCCCAATTGAGCACGTGTGGGATATGATGGGTAGGAGATTGCTCAATTTGCAACGTCCTCCTCAGACTCTAGAAGCACTTCGAGAGGAGTTGGTGGATGCCTGGAATGAGATACCACAGGAGGACATTGACCACCTGATCAGAAGCATGCCTAGGCCAATAATCTTAGGCGGCGGCGATCTTCACGGTCTGTTGTTCTACGGCGGCGTCCAGTGCCCCTTGCTCTTTGCGTACGGCCTTCTCGAAGCCATGCCTGACAACACCTAACCACAGTGTCTACACTTCTTTGCACTCTAACTGCAATTGCCCGAAAAGAAAGTCCAGCTTCCCGAAGTCCCACTATACGGCCCCTAAGTTGACGAAATCACACAGGTCTCCGTACTCTAGGCATCGTAACCGATCATAAAGGATGTCAAGAACCAAAATCCGCCAACGTTGATTCTTTACTGCGGCTGAAATATTCATTTTTAGAGCGTTAGTGAATTAAAAAAAAGCAGTATAAAAACCGGAATGTCCAACTGATAAGGCTGAAAATTTTTTCACTTGTTATTTACAGTAAGATAAATACATTCACCAACTTTTATTAAAATAAAACCATTTAAACTGGGTGTTCGGATTTATATGTCACTTAGTATAGATTAATAATAATTTTACAAGTTAGACAATAGAAAAGTTTTTATTTTTTACTCAAAAATGGTGCATCTAAGGAAAACAATTCAAGAGAGATCATTTGTTTTAAATTGAACAGGGAATTCAAAAGTAATTTTTATTTTGCAAAAGCTATTAGCGTACCATTTTTTTTTCTTGAAAAATATTGTAGTCAATACCCGTACGCACGCCACTGTTAAAGCTAAAAATTATTTTTGTATTTAAAAATATGCAACTTTATTAACTTCCACTACGTTCTCAATATCAGTGAAATATCTGAAGAGGTTCTGAAAATATTAATTAATTTCCATTTTTTTCCTAAAACTTCAACACCCCGAGTTGTTGCAAACATTTTTGGACCATAGCTGATAAGGCAAACTAACATTAATTTTTCATGTAGATTCACACCCTTAAATATTTGCATATCATTGTATATGAATTTTCAGATAGAACAGGAAAATGCCTGGTATCGCCTTCGATTAAGTTTAAGTTTTGTTCCCAAAGCTCAAGCTTTTTGATAAACGCTTTTATTTCAGAAATCATTTTTGCTAGTTCTTTGTGTCTCCCTGAAGCTGCAAATTAAGTTCATTCAATTTTTCTGTAACATCCATAAGAAAACCAAAATCTCTAAGCCAGATTGAATTTTCCAGTTCCGGAATCGGTTCATCACGTTCTTTGAAAAATTGAACTATAGCAGATATGATGTCAATAAAGCGTTTCAGTACTGGTCCCCTACTTCACCATCGGACTTCAGAGTGTAGTGTAGTGCAGTAGTTCCCCGTATTGACAGTCAATTTCATCGGCCAATGTTTTAAATAATCTTCTTTGTAACGCTCGAGCTCTAGTCTTGTTCACAATTTTTACTGCCAATTTCATAACGTTGATTAGTTTTAGAAAATG